CTAATGAGAATCTCATGCCCCCACTGATCAGACTGGAGGTGGAACTTAACGCAGGGGTGTGAGAGGTGGGGCATGGCTGTAAATACAGGTGGAGCTTTGCTCACCTGCAGCTGTGCGGCCCCGTTCCTATCAGGCCACAGACCAGCGTCAGTCTGTGACCTGGAGGTTGGGGACCACAGATCTAATATAAAAGATTTTTTTTTTATTTTAATAGATGAGTTTAGCTCATTTACTGCTATGTTAGATATGTTTGGTCTGAGTTTTCTCACTATATTTTATTTTATGCTTTCTGTTTTTATTGCTTCCTTTTTTCCGTCCTCATTATATTTTATGGATTTCTCTTTTTACATCTTATGTTTCTTCTTTGGAAGACTTACGTTCTCGTTGCAGTGATCACCCTGTAACTAACTGTATACATTTAATTCTCCATGTTTTTATTCTTTTGATGCTTTAAAGATATCCCCCTAGTCTTTGGTATTTTGGAATATATCAAAAACATATCTGTGTCAGTGCTCCTTAAAAACTCACCACACAAGGCAGTGGCTTAAAAAAACACACATTTGTTATCCCTTGGCTGGGTCTTCTGCGTTGCAATCTTCAACGAAGCTGCAATTAAGGTGTTGGTCCAGGGTGTGTAGTCTCATCTGAAGGCTCAACCGCAGAAAGATTTGCTTCCAACCTCACTTAATAGTTGTTAGTAGCACTCAGTTCCTTGTGGTTGTAGGACTGAGGTTGCTTTCTTTCGGGAGAGCTTATATTTGTTTCACCCAAAGCCAGGGACTGCCACTAACCTTTCTACTGGTTTAACCTGGTGTCCCAGGTAGAACCTCTGACTTTGCTACCAGTCCCAGACTTTTTTTTTTTCCCAACTGTAGTTCTAAGACCAGTGACAGCCCTCGGGGGAACCCACCCTTGTATGTGCTTAGCACTGATTGGTATGTTTGTAAGTATTTATAAATATAGCTCTGTATGTATTTCATGTTTGTTTGCTCGGATATTGCCTTTACTTCTGGTGAGCTCAGCAATAGGAATTCTGTTTTGTTGCAGTCCCTAGCTGCTTTCTACTGGAAGAACAGCCCTGCCTCCCACACAGTATCTAGTCTGCTATTCCTGGAAGCAGGTGCAGCAGTCAGTCACCCTTCTCTTTAGGGCACCTAACCCCATGAGCATGAGCAAGTACATGCATTTCCATCTCCAGGCCCCTTCTTCCCTCCACTCCCAAATGTTATTATTTTTCTGCATGGTCAACATTTTCCCTTTAAAAGTTCTTATAGCTCAGTTTTTAAAATTTTTCTGTTATATTTTTGTTCCTCTCCCAACAAGAAAAGGTAAAGTTGGCATATATAGAGGCAGCTGCCATGCTCCTGCCTCAGCCCACCTTCTTCCCTGGTGGTTCCTCTCTCTACCTGGTCTGGGTTTCTGTCACGTGTGTTCTGTCCTCTGACTTCAGTCCTTGCATTGGTTTCAGTTGATACCTTCATCAGTGCTCGCTGCTAGTCATTTGCTGTGGGTTCGCCAGTTGTTTCTTAGCTGGCTGAAGATCATCCTTTGGTATTTTCTCCAAAAAAGGATTTTACGATTTGTAAGTTCAAAAATGTTTTTCTGTTGCCTAAATACTTGAGTGGTGTTAGTTGATACGCACTTCCTGGGCCACGTGTTCATTCTCTGTGTCCTATCAGCCTCACCCCACTGCCCCTGCAGTAATGCAGCTGTGGAGCAAACATCTGCATGCGGCCTAGGCTCTTTCCCCACTGTCCGGGACTTAATCTCTTTGCCTGGCTGCCCGAAGGATTTTTGGCTTTGTCCTGGAAGTCCAGCAACTTTATCAGGACGTGCTGGGTCCGGGTTCATCATCCTCTGCCGTTTTTTCCTGGAAGTGGGCTTTGCTTTTCAATATGAGCCTGAGATCATCTTTCAGTTCAGGTTAGGATCTTGAATTGCTATTCAAATACATTTTCCGTTACATTATTTTAGTTCTCTTCTTCAAGAGTCTCATGCTTCTGACCCAGCCCGGGCCCCTTGACTTTCGCAAACATCTCACTGGAGAAGTGGAGAAAGCCCCATCCTGTGTGCCGTCCGTGGCTGTCGTGGGGCTCAGGGTGACATCAGAGCACTTTGTCATTCGCAAACATGGCATGAATGCCAGGTCTGGATCTAGCAGCATCCCAGGGACCAAGAGCATTCATGTAGTCTACTCTATCCCATAGTCAAAATCAATCACAAGAACAGTGATTGTGTGGCTTGGGCATGCAGAGCAGTGCTGGTGGCTGAGCTTGGGGCACAGACTACAGTTCTAAAGTCCCCTTTGCAGCTCATTCCCCTTTTCTAATATACCATAATTCTAATATACCATTATTCTAATATACCTTGTTCTAATATACCATTGTTCTAATATACCTTGTTATAATATACCATTGTTCTAATATACCATAATTCTAATATACCATTGTTCTAATATACCTTGTTCTAATATGCCATTGTTCTAATATACCATAGTTAATCCATTCAGCTGTTGACGGGCCTTTGGATTGTTCCAACTTGGAACTTGGAATACAAATGGTGTTGCAATGAACTTTCTTGACAATGGCTTTGGTGAACATATATACACATTTTTTGTTGTTGTTACATACTTAGGATTGGAATTGCTGGGTACTAGAATGGCTTTAGTAAATACTGCCAGAGAGTTTTCCAAAGCTGTTGAACAGAGTTAAAATCTCACTCACAGTGTACAATAGTTCCCATTGTGCCACATTCTTGCCGACGCTCAGTGTTCTTCATCGTTTTTATTCTAGACACTCTGGTGGGCGTGTAGAGGTACTAATGGTGCTTTTAATTTGCCTTCCCTGATGACTAAAGAAACCAAGCACCTTTTCGTAGGTTTACTAGCCATTTAAATGTCCTCTCTTGTGAAGTGTCTGTTCAAGACTTTTGCCCATTTTTCTACTGAGTCTTTTTCTTAATTGATCTGTAAGAGTTCTTTGTTGACTTTTAAAAATATACGCTGGATACAAACACTTTGGTTATATAGATTAAAAATATCTCTCTCATGTGTTGCAGATACCCTCTCTCATATTCTCATAGGTGTCTTTTGATAAACAGAAGTTCCTAATTTTAATATAGTATAACTCATCAGTTTTTTTTTTCTTTAGGGTCATTACTTTTCGTGTTCTGTTTAAGGAATCTTTGCCTAACGTCATTCTCCTTTGATGATTAGAAAAGTTTTATGAGAAAGCACTGTCTATAAAATGCATAATAAACAGTCCACGCCACCTTCTTCCTCTTTCTCCTGATGTGGCAGTTCCTTCTCCCAATCCCAACGCTCCTACCCTGTAAATTCGCCTCCTGGGTCAGCCTTGTCTCACGAGCACGTGTCTGCGCACAGACGCCACGCTTTTGAAGAGCCCTTAGGTCAAAGTGCACGGAATCAAACATTTAATGAGGCGCAGTCAGTCTTTATGGGACCAGCTGGTGCTGCGCTGAGGGCTCTCATCTTTTTACCGCCCCTCTGAGAGGTGAACGGTAATGGGAACATGTAGACTTTTCTGAACCCAAATGCACAACATTCCACTTGAGTCATCGACTTCTTTAAGGGCAAACATCAGCTCTGACATACTCGAAAAATGAGAAGGAGCTGTGGGCTTTTCTTAGTTCTTTTTAAAAGCCTCCCTCCAGCTCTGCTTTGCTTCCCTTTCTCTTATTTTTGTCCCTTCAACTTCTAAACTTTTTTTTTTTTAACTTTAGACAGCACAGTTGTGTGTCTGTTCCATGCAGATCTTTGAGCAGACTCTAAGCTGAGCGCGCACGGCATTTGTAAGGTTGCCGTGACAGGGTCCCTGCCACACCCTGGAGGGTGATGTCTCCCTGTTCCCGCTCCGGACTTTGTGTTTGGCATCCTGGATCGCTGTGTCTTTAAAAGATCCTTAAGTACATCTGTTGTCAATTTTCAGACCATGAGGCGAAGGATTTGGGTGCAAGTAGTTTATCTGGGAAGCGATCCCGGGAAGCCCCGTGAGGGGACAAGTGAGGGGAGTCGGAAAGGTGCGCTGATGGGTATGTGACTGCCAGAGGCAACGGGCCATCCCACCAGGACCCTCTGAGAGACACATGGAACTTGCCTCAGTGTCATCCCCCCCAAGTGGTGTGGGGTTTTCCAGCGCCTGTCCCTTTTGGTTGAAGGCACTGTCTGCACATGAGTCCTCAGGGGAAGGACCCTGGCTCTGTCTGCCTCTGTGATTTTGATAAATTGTCTCATTCTGAGCACTTTGTTGATGTCCAAATTTCCTATTAATACAACTGGGAGTCTGTGTTTTTAAATGCCTGTTCTCATTTTAGTAGAATTATGTTAATTGTATATTTGTAGAAGTTCCAAAATTTTCTAGGTGAAATGCTATAAGAAATTACGCACAGTTCAGCTGAGCTAGAAAACAGGTGACCATAGGGGGAAGGGAATGTTGCCTCTGTAACCCTGTGGTCACGGGGCCCGAGCGCTTCAGGGCCCTTTGATGTCACTTTGGGGCCTTATAACGGCTGCCCACTCCTGCAACCTCAGCTCCAGGGTTGCCTATTCCAGAAAGCCCTCTCTGACAAGGCTTGGTTCGATCCCTCTCCTATGTGCTCTGTGCAGTCCTGGGCATCTGCTGCTCCCTCACCACATTCAGTGGACAGGGTTTGTTTGCTGAGCACTCCAGGGAGGCGCGGGCTGCTGCTCCTGGCTGTGCCCTGCCTCTCGTACCTCCTGGGCCCTCGGTAGCTGGTGTTGGAACTGCTGTGCTCCACCCAGTGGAACAAGGCCTCCTTAGGAGGAAATGCACAGAATTTTTTGTTGATCTCAATGAACCAGTTGAAACGATGCACCTATTTTTTGGCCATCCAGACCCATGACCCTCCTGTTCTCCCATATGGTTCAAATCCCGAATGGTAACTGGGCCACACCGGAGCCCAGCTGTGACCTGTGCGTGTGGGCGTTCTCTGCAATCACGGTTCCTTCCCTTGTCCTGCAGCATCTGATGTGCGCTGGGCTGTGGTGCCTGGTAGAAGGAGACACATCCTGCAAGACCAAGCTGGACCCTCCCCTGGATGGCACCGAGTGTGGGGCAGACAAGGTAACGCCCGGCCTCCCCCTGCCCCGGGCACCTGGCCCCTCTCCTGCTGGAAGGCGGTCTGTACCCTGTGCTCAGGAGCCCCGGGGACATCCCTTGGGCACCGCAGAAGTCCCCACGGAGCCCACTCTGGGCACAGAGGACTCCTATATCACCTCACTCCTTTTTCTAATAAGACGTAAGAATCATTTACTTTATGTTTTTGTCAGATTAACTCCTTTTGTCACCTGAGTGAATTTACTTAAAAGGAAAACTTTCCATCAGTATATTTTAAATGAAACAAACTATCACCTGCCGTACACAGAAAGCTCTCGTAAAATGAGTTTGATGAGAACAGCATTATCCAACTCTAGCTAGGTGTTAAGAGAGCGAGCCTGATCCTCGTGAGATCAGTGAGTGTTAGGACAGGGGACGGGACCAGCAGCCACAGACTCCTTCTGTGGTCTCGCCGCAGGGATCGAAACAGAGTTGAAAGGGAAGTTACGTTTCACTCTGATGCCGTGGTTGGGAGCCACAGAATCGCATCTCGTGCCCTAGGGCATGTGCCATGCACTTCGGAAATTTCATTTTAGAGGATGGGTTTTCTCTTCTCTTCAGAAAGAACCAAGGTTCCCCCACGTGGAGCTGGCTGTGTCATCTCTGAGCAGCAAACCCAACACCCTGTGAAGTTCCAACGTCAGAACCAGGAAATGCTGCCTTGCAGAGAGAAACGCACTCACGTTAAGCACAGTTTACAGAGGCTCAGGTCTCTTCATGAGCCATGTGGATTAATCCTTTTCCTGGGAATTCAGAAAATCCTAATGGAGCACATTCCGTGTAGAAATTTAGGGCAAAATCCAAACCTCAGTGGGATGTAGGTGTCAGGTTGAGTAAGTAAGGAATGTCATTAAAGTTAGCAAACACGCACAACCTGAAATAGTATACTTTTATGTAATTTTTGGAAGTCGGTTTTTGGCAGTGTGGCATATTTTGGCAAGGAGGGAATCGCAGCCCTGTGGTCTTGAGTGAGCAGCTTTGCTGAGTGCCTGGGGCCCCGGCCCTCCCTGCTGTGTTTCAGTGGTGCCGAGCGGGGGACTGTGTGAGCAAGACGCCCATCCCGGAGCACGTGGACGGAGACTGGAGCCCGTGGGGCGCCTGGAGCATGTGCAGCCGAACGTGTGGGACGGGAGCCCGCTTCCGGCAGAGGAAATGTGACAACCCCCCGTAAGTCCCCCTCGCCCAGGCCTTCCCCAGCGGGCCTCGGTTGGGGTTTCCCAGCTGCAGCTGTCACTGCCTCCCATAAAGCACAGTCTGCCTCCCACTAACAATCAGAAAAGAAGGGAAATAAAATCGAGTCAAGGTCCAGAGTGCGGGGGCCCTGTGTGTGTGTCAAATGACATCTCAGCTTAAACAGCTCTTTCCGTGAACATGGGTGCAGTAACGTTCTATGCTGAGCTGGCTCCTTCATTCCTTGCTGGGGCCCTGGTGGAAACGTTTCCCAGGACAGCTGATGACAGTCCCTCTCGCCTGCTTCATGGTTTATGCAGTCGAAGGTCATTCTCAGGCAGCCTGTAGACCTTCAGGAAAGAGAAGCTGACCTTCAACTTGGCTGTGAGCTGATTTGGGAGCAGCCTGGTGGTTCATGCGTCACACAGTATCTGGGTTTTTCATACAAATATTTTCATGGGTTCTCCTAGATCTATTTGACAGAAATAAGTATTTTGGGTGTTTTTCCTCTTCAATTTCTTTCTATTGACTCTGAGGACAGCATGAGCCTTCTTGTTTGCCTTCGTGCAGATTCTCCACAAGATTCAGGGATAGATTTTGTGCCCAGTTATGCCTTTACCACTGGTTTCTCCCTTCTCCTCTTGATGTTTCCTGTTTCTTTCCTTAATATTTCTCTTAATGGTCTGTTTTATGCCTTGTGTGTCATCAATTGCATCACGTCAATTTTGAAAACAAACAAGTTGTAAATCATGACTAAAGAGAAATGTCCGCAGTTAGATCCTGCTGATGCACACTTAGCGGACGCCTTTTGCGTTTGGAAATCCTGATGCCCAGGCTAGACCCCGGACCAATGAAATCACAGACTCTGTGGGTGGGACCCAGGAATTGGGTGTTTTAAATCCAAGCTCTGACTCCAGTGGCCAGCCAGCGTTGGGAACCTCCAGATGAAAGGAAAACTTGCGCTCACAGTTTAGTCAATGATGGGAACACCATCCTTTCCAGTAATGCTGTAAGAATTGGCATCGAGTATTGTGTCTATTAAAACCTTCCCCTCTAGAACCCTGCAGAGTACTTGGCACATAGTAGGTATTTAATCTGTTAGGAATGACTTCTTAATTAAAAGCATGGGTGGGCAGATTGCTTAGAAACCCTAGTTAGCTAAATGGTGAGAAATTAATAGAGAGTGGTTTCAGGTTTTACATTTCTCTGTGTTGAAGTTAATAGTTTGACGTCAAGCCCTGCAAAGAGACCTTTGGGTTTGGATTCATGGCACTGAGATTTGGGCCTGGCTTTGTTGGTTATTGGTCATGTGACCTTGAGAAAGACCCTTCTGTTCTCTGGGGGAGAACAGAAGGGTCTTCCCTTAGAGGGAGCTGACAGGGTAGAGTGGGAAGAGCCAGACTTCAACGCCAGGGAAGACAAGTCCGCAAATCTCAGTGCAACTCCTTATAGCAACTGACAGCTGTTACTTCTTCATCTAGAAGCTAGAATAATTCATGAGAACGCATAGAAAATCTTTGTCTGTATTTAATAAGTGGCCTCTCTTGTGGTTTCCACTAACAAAAGAGCTGGGATGAGACCGCTTGCCCTGCCCTGCCTACCCATGGAGCAGTTTTGCAGCTCAGAGTAGGGCGACTTAAGTGGAGAGGCTTTGTTAAGTGCAGAGAGAAGTTTGCAAGGGTTGAGGTTGTCATGAACGCACCACGTTTGTGATTGGAGCTCATGGGCCCTGGCCAAAGACACGTCCTCTTTGGCACATATCATATGTTATCCCATGTCAGGTGACACCTTGTGAATGTCATAGTAGGAGGATAGCAGAACTGCTAAATGCTCCAAGGATCCTATATCCCAAGACTGTCAACATTTAGATTGTTTTAGGTGAGGGCAAGAATAGGTGTTATGAATGCCAGGTGAATGCAGTAGGCACAACTTCTAAGGGACCCAGTATTGTCTGTTTTCTTGGGATGACACTGGCACGGTCATCCCCCCACTGGTGGCCTAGAGAGGAGGCTTCCCCAAGCTTTCTGGCCTCATGCCTTGGCTGAACCCTGTCACCGTCCCCACTATTTCCTGTTCTGCCCACTGTGGGTGCTCGGGGATACCACAGGAGCATTTTGCGACAAGAGGCTGCTAAAGACCCCCGAATTCAGTGAGCCGCGTGAGCAAACCCTCCTGGGCCTGGCCTGCCGTGGGATTCACGTGTTGGGATTCTAACCCCAGCCCTCCAGGTCCAGCGGTGCCAGGAGGGGGGCTGTTGTGGAAACCACAGCGTTGTTGTAAAAGTCTTTGGTTCCTCCTCTTCCTCGGGATCTCCTCTCTCTCCCTCGGGGGTGGTTATGGCTTTTCTCTCCGCGGCTCTTCTTCCCTGCGCTGCCATTGAGGAGCGCAGGGACTCGTAGGGCCACCACACACTGGCAGCAGAGGGGTTCGCAGGACTCAGCACATCACCTTCACCCCCGATGTATCTATCGCCCAGCAACGCCCCTTGGGACAGGGCGACGGTAAAGGTACCAGGGGGGCAGGTGGCGCTCTCACTCTCCCAGCTCGTGCTCCTTCCCGCTGAGGCCTTCAGTGAACCTTGCCAGGCCGGGACTCTGCACCCTGCCAGGTGTGGGCCAGTAGTGACAGGCAAACAGATAAAACCCCTGCCCACCCGCAAGGGGCACTGTCCCACCAACTTCTCTGGTTTTCTCCCAGACACTCCCAACCTAGCACTTCTAAAGTGTGACCTCCTGTCCTGTTGTGGCAATGTGTACAGCTAGTGTTACAGCTCTTGACCGGGGAAAGAACCAAGCAGCACACGAAGAGTTGGAGAACAGCCTTTATTCTTCCACAGCAGGCTCAGCACACCTAGTGTTACAGCTGTCTTCCCAACTTCCCATCTTCTGACCCTTCTTCCCCCCTTCCTTGTTCTCCTCCTGCTTTTATACCCTTGGAAGGGTTCAAAAAGCATCCAATCAACTACAAGCTTTAACATCCAATCAACTACAAGCTTTAACATCCAATCAATCAACTACAAGCTTTAACATCCAATCAAAACCAGTGGGATTCAAACATTACCCAGTCAGGATCACGCAAGCAACAGCACGCAGGGCCCCCTGCGACTCTGTGCCCGGGGCCAGCCCCAGCAGGGTACCACGCACAGCACTGGCCTGCGGAGATGTGGAGCTACGGGGAGGCGGCAAGCAGCCGCATCCCGGCACCCGACATTTCCCGCATCAGTCCCGCCCCACCTCCCCCTCTCAGTAAACAGTACCACGTCCTTGCGCTGCTCGAGGCCAGAGCCCCTGAGTCCCTGCGGCAGGCTCTTGTGGCCCTACCTCCTCCACGTCCGATTGTGATAAGAGCAGTGAACGCAGCGGGTCCTCACCTGTGCCGGGTTCCCTCGGGCAGTTACGTAGAGCAATAAATCACTGGGGCAGCCCCTTGCGAGAGGCGTTATTTTTATCCCCATTGTACAGAGAAAAGCTGAATCAGAGAAATTAGGTAACTTCCCCAGGGTCACACAGTGAGACGGTGTGGGCCAGGTTTGGAACCCAGTTCTGGAAACCAGAAGTCCAAAATCAAGGTGTCAGTAGGTTTGGTTCCTTTCCAAAACTGCAGGGGAATCCACCTCCTGCCTCCCACGGCTTTGGCAATCTTTACCCTCTTGGCTGTGGTAGACACGTCACTTTAATCTCTGCCGCCACCTTCACGTGGTTTCTTCCCTATGTGTCTTCTCACCTTTTCTTCTCTTAGAAGACTTGTCGTTGGATTCAGGGCCCACCCTAATCCACCATGATGACCTCTCAATATCCTTGACTTAATTACATCTGCCAGGACCCTTTCCAGCCGGACACGTCAGCCCACCCAGCCTCAGCGCCTCTTCGCTGCTCGACCACGGCGTTCCAGCCTCTGCCCCTTCGTGGCACTCTCTTCCCTCTCCCTAACTCGCCTCCATCTCTCTTTGGGTCTCAATGTAAATGTCTTCTGCAGAGTTCTTGTCCCTGACACCCTGCTTAAAGTGGCATGCCCTCCCCGGCACCTCTCCCTAACGCGGCAGGTGTTAAAACAGGTGGTTATTGCAGTTGTGTGTTGGCTTACCTGTTCCTACTCTGTCCTTCCCACTGGCCCTCAGGCTCCAGAGGCCTGGGACAGGCCCCACCTGTCTGGATGCTGTCCTCTCTTCCGTGCCACTCTATAAAATGTGCTGGACGCCTCACTGCCTGGACACGTGCATGCCCAAGAAATTCTGTCCCTGCAATTCCACTGCCCAGAACACATCCCTGGTATCCTTTCCCCCCAGAAACACAAAGACCATTGTCAATTATTAGGCCAAAAAGGCAGATCTCCAGGCAGGCCTCCTGCCCTTGTGTAATGGATGGCCTCCCAGATGCTATGAATGGCCACATGAGGCCCGTCCGTCACCCGTGCCCACCTGCCCCGCCCCAGAGAGGTTGCCCTTGCAGCCAGGGATACCCAGCACCGTCTCAAGCATAAGCCTTGGTGTGTAATCCAGCCTCCTCTATCCCTAGTGAGAGAAACAATATGTTCTTGCTCCTGTGATCTGCACCCTTTGGTGGCCTGTCTGCTCTTTTGCAGTGAGTGTGGCTGTTTCCTGCTCTGCACAGAAACAACCTGCTCTTTTTCCCCTTGTAGTTTTCTGCGGAGTATCTCACCTTCATGGATCCAGCCCAGGTGAATGGGAAGGCACAGAGCAGGCCTTGGGGGGTGGATCAGCAGCCACCTTGGGTGCTTCCCGAAGAGGGGACGTGGACAGTGTTTTATGAGGTCCAGGCCGCAGTCTCCCGCCTGCTTCTGCACCACGGCCTGACGTGGTGATAGTTACAAAGCACAGCTGACCGAGGCCTGGGAGCCAATCTCTGACCAAAACAACGTCCTCTCCCCGTCTCACTCCTTAAATCACCGGCCTGCTGCCTGGAGATTCCATAGGATGTCTAAACCTCACTGCTGTGTGCGTCTCGGGCTTGGAGCGCTCCCACCCCGCCCCCACCCTC